GGGCCGAGCCAATACATATCTCCAGCCGTTGCTTCCAACTCATGCTTGGAAGGTCAGAGCCGTAGAGGTGACTCTTGAGGGTCCCGTTCTCCATGTACTCGTAAACAAGAATCATTTCGTTCTTTTCATCGCAATATCCGATCAAGGAAACTAAATGGCGGTGGCGGAATTGGGTTAGCATCTCGATCTCAGTTCTGAACTCCGCCAGGCCTTGTTGGGACTTTGGGTTGCCCCGTTTGACTGCAACCTTCGTCCCATCACTCAACTCTCCCTTGTAGACCTTGCCGAACCCGCCCACTCCGATGACCCAACTTTCATCAAAGTTGTTTGTTGCTTCTTGAACGGCTGCAAATGGGACCCTGTAGCTCAGGTTGGAAGCCGCGCTAACGGTAGTCCCGTTGGAATATTTGCTACCCATTGTGTGTGACCCACTGATAGATAACGGGATCCACGTTTTTGACTGGCCCAGCCTTTCCTGTTTCCTCCTCCTGTGGATGCAAAACAGAAAGCAAATCATTGCTAAAGAAAAAGGTACTCCCACACTAACTCCAACTATCAGCCCAATGTTCTTGGAACTTGAACTGGCGGAACCGAGCACTTGGTCTGAAATTCCAAGACTGCCTTTTGAGTTGTTCATCTTCATGATCTCCAAACCGTTTATAAATGCATCAGAAAAAGCGCTGCGAGGAGATGGCCCCACACTGATACGGATCTTGTCTTTAATGGCTGACGGAGTGACGTAATCAATGTAATATGCGGTTGCCAGAATGTTCCCGACTTTAGCTCCGGGGTCAAAATCGGGAGCAATATTTGACGAACCGATGTAAATGTTAAACAGAAGCTGATTAGGGGACGGACTAACTATGTCGCAAAAGTGTAACCTGAGAAGATACTGGAAGCCGGTTTCCACATTGAACTCCCAAGTGACGTTGAAATTAGATGTGGTGTCCCCGTCATCGACCCTCATCTTAGTGCACGTACCGTACACAGTTGAGGGTGCGGACTCTGGAGTTGCTCCCTGATCGGGATAAATTACGGATTTGACTTTGGAGAGATTCATGGCAAGGTCAGATTTCAACAAGAAGCCTTGATCGTTGACCCAATTTCTCCCCAATGTGTCATTACTTGAAGTCAATGGAGATCCACCCATGTTCACCCTCACAACCGTCTCAAGTGACTGGGCATCAAGACCACGGAAGGTTCCAACCGGATCAATGGTGTTGACATCACCTGTAATAAGGTCAGCCGGAGCGGAGACAACTTCGACAGCACTCACATAAGCAAACGAATTGCTCGAAGGAGTGAATGTTATCACAATCTCTTTAGAAGCCACATTCACTGAAAACTCCTTGAAAGACAGGCTTTTCGGATTGAAATCGGAGAGGAGGACACTGCTTTGGGCGGAAACTGAGAAACTAGCTGAGCTCATGTTGTAGTTATTGTAAACAAATGGGTAAAAATAGAGACGGATCCAGTGGCGCCCGGGCTGGCTGATCGAGAACTTGTAGCTAGATGCTCCAGTGAAGATTCTAGCTGTCTGATAAAGAGGGGAGTCATCAGAGGCAGCAATTGGGGTTGAAGGAGAATTGGCCAATATGTTTTCTGGGGTTGAAAGCGATTTTGAAGCTGAACTATCAGACTTGAAAACCCTGTTACCAACTTTGGCATCACTGGATGATCCACAGTTTATCAAGTAATTATCTGAAGGAACAAAATCAGAACCTAACTGCCCCCAGAAGAATAGTACGGACAAAACCCCGATTTGCAATTCAAACCTCCAACAGTTCTTCATCACAGAGAACTAAAATAAATGGATCTGGGAAGGTAAAGTTGAAATCTTTGATCTTAAACACATCGGGTTATCAACTATTTGCACTGAAATTTAAACAATTTGGAAACAATCGCACCTTTATAATCATAGAAGCTGATGGAGAGAGTGCGAAATACAGATCAGTAGAGATCTTTGGGGGCAGAGCATCACGGCACAAATCTAGCAAAGCCTTGGCTGGGTCGGAACCGGAAAAAATCGCGACAAAATGTTGACAACTAATGGCATGATTTTTAATAAATAAATGAATACTCCGTAATAAATGAATTGTTTGCCCAAAAATCCAAAATATTAAAGTATCCAAATTATATAATCAGATTCAAGAAATATTCACAGAACTATAATGACTTGCTGGCTGACCTTTTTAGTAATCTGCTGAAAAATTGGGAAACGCGGTGAGAGAGACAAAAAAATTAGGGCGGGGACTTTGGAACCAAGAACAGGAGAACCGAACCGCACCGAACCGTTATGACCCGGTTCGGTTTGGTTCCAAAATTTATTAGTTATTTGGTAATGGTTCGGTTCCTACTTTTTATTAACGGTTCGGTTCTCGGTTCCTGTAAAAAATATGTACGTGGAACCGTTAAAGAACCGTTATACTACCTCCGTTCTTCAATAAATGCAACATATGAAAATTTACACTATTCACATGTTCTACTTTGACTAAGTTTTATTTAATAATGTATTAATATTATTTTATGAAAAAAAATATTGTTAAATTTGTCTCATTGTAAATTTTCAAAATCTAATTTTTTAATTTTTTACTAATACAAAATTATTTATATTGATGGTCAAAGTTGTGTCTCGGCAAGTGTGAAATGTTGACCGTTGCATTTATTTAAGAACGGATGAAGTATATAATAATTAAAATTATATATATTTCTTATTAGTACATGTATTGTAATGTATATTTACTTATTTATTTTCATATTACATTCACTATTTTAGTTCAGTTATTTAACTATTTGAAATTATTTTTCATTTAACTGGTTTTATTGGGCTTCTTTACCGAATATCTTGTTTTGTTTTTGTTTTCTAAAATTTGCAGTTTGTTATGTATTTATCTTTTAAACTCAACTTTTGAGGTTTGAAATGAAATTCAACATATTTGTATTTTAATTTCAAGGGGATAAGGGTCAGATAGGGCCTCGAACTCGAAAAAAAATGTCAAATAAGGTCATATTTCGGATGCTCTGTCTGGCCGACGCCATTTGGGGCGGTTCCCGATGGAATTTTTTGATGAAATTTTTTGAGCATCTTTCTCATTAAGTCTAGTTTACCCATACCAAATTTCAGCTAAAAATTCAACCGGGAAGGTAGTCAAATGAGTTTTTGAAGATAACTGTGAAGTTAAACAACGCCGTACATTTCGGAAAATTATTTGACTACCTTCCCGGTTGAATTTTTATCTGAAATTTGGTATGGGTAAACTAGACTTAATGAGGAAGATGCTCAAAAAATTTCATCAAAAAATTCCATCGGGAACCGCCCCAAATGGTGTCGGCCAGACAGAGCATCCGAAATATGACCTTATTTGACATTTTTTTTCGAGTTCGAGGCCCTATCTGACCCTTATCCCTAATTTCAAGCGTTGAATGTATTTTTGACACAAATTTAACCGTGATTTGTAAGATTTTTTTTAAATACTAGGAACCGTTAAATGACAAGAACCGAACCGTTAAGAACGGTTCGGTTCCTTATCGGTTCTACAAAATAATCTATAAGAACCGAACCGTTAGTAAAATTTCATATTTTCAAACGGTTCCACATATTTCACCTAGGAACCGAACCGGTCCCAGGCCTAAAAAAATTATAGCTTAGAGGCCGTTTCATAACACTAAAATGGACTTATTCGGTTGATTCTACTGAAATTTACGAAGTTCGGCTGAAATGACTGCATTGGCTGATTCTTCTGATTTAAGAAAAAATTATTTTTAAAATATATTTTATTAATAAAATAAAGCAAAAATTATATGTAAAAATAGCTAAAATGATTATCTAGAGTTACTTTAGCCAATACATCTAGAAAAGTAACTTCAACCTTACTTTTTCTTATTATTACACAATTCAACGTGCGAAAACAAAAGTTACGTGTTTGGTGAAAAAGATGGTTGATAAGCCTGATAAACTGAAAAACAGTGTTACCAAACGACCTTTTAATTTAGACTTCATAGTCCGATTAAAAGGTGTCCTACTTTAGGTGTATTAGCGTATAACTGTATGCTTCATCCGTCCATTAAAATGTTACTCCCTCCATCCCGAAGTAAACCTCTTGTTTGTCTTAACACAAGCTTTAAGAAAGTGATCGAAAAAGTTAAAGTTGTGGTTGAGATTTAAATAGGTAAATTGATATGAGTCACACGCCAAAAGAGGAAACATGACAATTATTTTGGGACGGAACGAAAAAGAAAGCAGGAAAGTTATTTCGGGATGGAGGGAGTATACCTTTTCTTTTTTTATTGTCCCTGCAAGCTAGTTTCGTCACTTTCGCTTTTACTCAATTAATCTGTAGTTTTTGTTATTTCTTTCTTATATGTACAAACTATAATCAAATAGTCTTTACTTTACTATTCTCATTGTCGGTCAAATTTGACGAAGTTCTAAGGGATTGAGGAAGTACACACTAACATAGTTAAGTGAAATACACTTTGAGTAAATTCCGTGTATAAGAATATAATATTGAAAAAATGCATATAGTGGTCCCATCATGTCTAATAGGAGTGAAAATGTCCTAAAGAGAAGTAAACAAATTGTGTACTGCCAAAACAAGATTTACACAATATGACTGCTATGTTTTTTCCCAAAACAAGAGTCGTTACTGTCATAATTAAAAAATACTGACAGTAATGATACTAAGTATTGACGATTTGACAGTAAACACTATAAAATGACACCAAATACTGACATATTACTCCTATTTTGGGAAGAAAAACATAAAAGTCATATTTCAGAATGTAATTTTAAAATATATTTAGTCCTATTTTGGAAACTTTTCCTTAAAAGGAGCAAAAAAGACTTGACCACAATCATTTATGAAAACTTTCAATATGAAATTTACACTACAAAACATTTGCTCCCTACGTCCCAATTTGATAGTCATGTACTTTCTAACAGGCCCTTATTTTTCTTCTATGCATGTCTTTTCCCTTCTGCTCCTCTCTGTGTGTCATGTCTTCTCCAAGTTGTGTCATGTACTTTATACAACTTTATTTTTCTTCCTTTTACCCCCCATTATCTCTGTGTGTAATCTGCTCCTCCCTTCTCCGTCCATGTCTTTTAATCTTCATTGTCATCTCATATGTCCGCCCGATCTTTGTCTTCGTCCTTCATCCTAAAACTCTACAAATGCCATCGAATCATAGCCTTGAGCCCATTGAAACCACCATCGATGTTGATGAAGTGTTTCCAAAATTTGTGTCTCTAGATCTGCAATGTGATTGCCATGCAGAGGCGTTGTTTCAATTAGTTGTGGAGGAGACGCAGATGGAAAGCGAACATGACGGTGATGATGATGAAAAGCCAAAGGGTGAATCCGAATATGGCAGAAAGCCAAGATTTTTTATTTTATCACCTTGAGGATTGTGGCTCAAGCACATATGGAGACCCGAATTTGCTTTGCCATCACGATTTCTAAATCGAGGATATGTATGTGCTAGGCCCTAATATTCATGATGGTGGTTTCTAGTATGAAAGTTGTGTCTGTATACCTTACTCCCTCTTTATTTCCCTATTTGGTTTAACTGATGATGCCAACTGTGGGGTTATACATGCTATGATTTGTTGTACGAAATATGTGGTTGTTTTAATGTGTTTAGATATGTTGTTGGAGGCGATATGATTAAATTGATCGCCCCCTTGTTTGGTAATGATATTCATGTCAGAGACTATTATATGACCTCTATGAAGCTTACAAACTGTTTGAGAGGTGTTTATATGTTCAACTACATGTTGGAGTTTTTTTTGGAAATACATATTGGAGGTTATATGATTGTATTGAGAGTCAACCTTGAATGCTAATGAAACTTAAGTGTTCAATGATGATAATACGAGATTTTAGAGGATTTTTGTGCTTAGTTACATGTTGGAGGTTATATGATTGTTTCGATTGTCGCCCTTGTATGTTGATGGTACTTATGTGTTATGTGATGCCTCAATGATGAAAATTTAAATGTCAGAGGGTTTGTTGAGGTTCAAATAACCTCAAATTAACTTAGTGATGAGAATATGATTGTCTGAGAAGACTTTATATGTTCAGATACATATTGGAGGTTATATGATTGTATTGAGAGCCACCCTTATATGTTAATAACACTCATGTGTTCAGTGATGCCTCAATGATGAAAAGTTAAATGCATGAGGGTTTGTTGAGGTTCAAGTAACCTCAAATTAACTCAATGATGATAATATGACTGTCTGAGAGGAGTTTATTTGTTCAGCAACATGTTGGAGGTTATATGACTAATTAGCTGCCACCTCTGTACTTATGTGTTATGTGATGCATCAATGATAAATTTAAAATGTGTTTGGGTTATATGTGATTCAAGTAACCTCAAAGTAACTCTATGATGATAACTTCACTGTCCGAGAGGACTTTATGTGACTTGTGTATTTGAGATAGTGAGTGAAACACAATGTCCATATATACTTCATTGTGCACATTTGTGACGCAGAGTTCCAAAAATACAAAAACAAATTGCCTACTACACAACTATTGCTTACTCGGTATACCAAAATAGAATAACATAACTCCAATACTCTATGAAGACAACTCACTTATCCAAGAGTTTGTCAATGACCATTCTATGATGATAAAAGAGTTAACTAAGAGATTAGATGACAAAAAAACTTACGTGTTCATAATAACTGAATTCAGGTTGTAGGCATGTGAGTGGCATGTGCAATTGCATCTTGTACAACTTTGTTGTCCATTTGAATGGCTGTAGTAGGTTACTATACATAGTCTTTCAAGTCTGTGTTTTCCTATATGCGGAAGCTTGTAGTTATTTCCACCCTTAACCTTTAGAACTTCAGCCATTGTAAGCTTAAGTGTTAGCCAAACATCGTTGAGTGTCTTTGGTAATAAGTTACCAAAAACATCTTGCACATTTACTATCAACTCATCCACTGATTTACTACAAGTTTGGTACTGCAATGATTGAATGGGGTTTTAAAAACTCAAATGTAGGATATTCATATATGGACTATTAGATGGTTATGTCACGCCCCAGACCGCATCTGTGCCACGTAGACAACCGCTGTACAACCCAATAAGAACAACATAGTTCATTCTTATTTAAATCATATAAGGCGTCCAATAGATTCTATTGCCAAATCGATTAGTAAATCCATACAATCAACATCAATATATTAATCAAACAAATGCGGAAATAAAATATGTTTGATAATTAGCCACACGTGGCAAACATGAGCACGCAGGCCCTTCAATAGTCTAATAGAAAACATTGTTTAAATATCCATGAGCAATTACATAGTTTCAAATAAGAATGAAGCACGAATTACGTCTTCCTTATTTGATGATCACCCTAGGCAAAGGTGCAGGAATAGGACTCTTGCCTTAACCTGAAAAATGTGAGGCCCTCGAAGGGGTCACTACTCCATAGAAAGTACTAGTGACAATCAGGCTATATGAGGAATAACTAATGTTTCAGACACGAGACCCAAAAATAGGGTGCTACATATATGTATATGTGTAACCACTGTTACCCCATCCACAAGATGATACATACCGTATATACTTGTAAAATACTTGACCCGTAGGTCTTTTTCATTTAAAGAGTCTTTTAGAGATAAAGTACTTACCCGACCTTTCCCATCCATTCCTGAATGCCTAGCTCACAAGCTACATTCCACATTCATAATATCCTACCGAGTTTTAGGATCATTTACCGTCCCGGGGATACTCAACCCCAAACGAGTTTCAGGATCATTTACCGTCCCAGGGATACTCAACCCCAACCGAGTTTCAGGATCATTTACCGTCCCGGGGATACTCAACCCCAACCGAGTTTCAGGATCATTTACCGTCCCGGGATACTCAACCCCAACCTTATTCCTTACCAAACCCTAACATGGATATGGCTAACCTTTCATTCCTTTAACTATGGACAATACCTAGCCATATAGTCATATAATAATCCTTAATAATCAACGTGGATGGGTCCCACCTGAACGACCCACGTTATATTCGTTCAAATCTGACCGTTGGATGTAAAACCCAGTACCCGGTCGAGTACCCACATTTACCCGGTCGGGTATAGAAGTCAGTAGCCCCTGGGGCTATTTTCAGTTAATACCCGGTCGGGTATTTGCCAATACCCGATTGGGTACAACAGTTGACTTGGCGGTCAACGCCCGTTTGACCGCCCAAACGAAGTCCGATTACCGTGAAATTTTACATGCATGTACTTCTTGACGTCCTTAATCCAAAAATACCTATTTGGGTTCTTGGAACATCATGCACATCAATTTATAATATTTTCACTAATTAAACTTACATATCATGCTTTTCAATAATGTTATATTCTCTAATACTCCCTCCGTCCCAGAAAATTCTTCCTAGTTTGACTTGGATCGGAGTTTAAGAAAGTGGGAATAAAGTGAAAATGTGTGGTTGTAGTTGTGTAAGAAAAAGGTGAAATGAATGTGAGCCACACAAATAATCAAAAAGGTGAAGTTAGAAGAATTTTCTGGGACGTCCCAAAAAGGAAAGTTGGAAGAATTTTCTGGGACGGAGGGAGTATGACATATCACATGCTTTGATAACATTAATCAATTCATAAAACATATTCTTGATTAATTTAGGTAATCTCATGCCTCACGCAAAAGTTATGAGGCATATAGTCGTCTTCTCACCTTACTGAAGCTTATGAATAACTAGCCTTCCTTATTGAGCTCCGGCGAAACTCCAGCGAACTTTAACAAGCTCCGACGACAATTCCGGCGACTATTTCCACTCCGTGAAAGTTCTTGAAATACCTTATACAAGTTAATATCAAGGTTTTGTCATCATAAAACCCATATCAACACAAATAACCTCTAAAAGGTTATTTGCCGACGAACCCGTCAACTTTGTAGAACTACCGTACCCTAGGAGTATGAAATATGATTAAAGAGAAGAAATGGAATTAATGACGTCATTACCTTGTTAACCACAAGTTTTCCCACCTAAACTCCTCTTTCTCTTCTCTTTTTCCTTCCTTCTTCCTCCCTTAGCTTGGTGCGTGCGTGGTGGATAAAAATGGAGTTTTTGTATAGATTCTCTCCTCAAGGATGATGGCTGGTAGGGCTGTGCAAGAACCGGGTCAAACCGGCAAACCGGACCGGAACCGGACCGGTTAAACCGGATCCGGACCGGACCGGTATGTAATCCGGTCCGGTTTACGGTTTAGGATATCCAGAAAACCGGTTTCCGGTCCGGGTCCGGTTAATATCCGGATAAAATCCGGTTTGAACCGGAAATAACCGGTATCTAATAAAATAGGCAGTTCATCGGTATACGGTAATATACCAAGCCTCCAGCCCACTGCGCATAACCCTAAGTCCCAACTCCCTAAGTCGGCTAAGTCTAATTCCAAAGGGCCGGTCTGAAGAAATCCGTTCATCTTCTTCTATCAGCTTGCCTGGCAGTCTGGCACACCACCGATAGAAGAAACCCAGGGCAGTGGCCTGAAGATGCCACACCACCGTGGCATTGTCTGCTTCTCTCACTCTTCTTCACCTACCCGTTAACTCAGTGTCTCAGCAATCTGGTGCGGTGTTCCGACTTCCGGCGGTGAGCAGCCAATAGGACGGCGTTCAGTCCCAGACTCCCAGTCACGACTCATAGGCCAGAGCAACTCCAGAAAATCATTCCCAAGCTTCAAGGTAACTCTGAGACTCCGATTCTCAGAATGAATATATTTGAATACTTTGTTAAATATGTTTGTGAATATGTTTATGAATACTTTGTGAATATAAGGAAATTGTATATTTGTGTTTGTGAATGCATTTGGAGTATATAGCCTTTATGTGAACTTTCTACTTTCTAGTTTCTACTGTGTTTAGCTTCATTCCGTTAAGAACCTTGATTTGAAGTTTCGAACTACCTTCCTTCCTTGTCGATAATGAAAAATATACTCTTGTAATAGTTTTCTGTTAGAGTTTTTATCACTAATACTGAAAGTATTCGAAAGGATGTCTAAATGAGGTATTTTCTAGTCGAAATGGTTTACAAATTCTAGACAAAAGCAATTGTCGGGTACATTGAGTTTTAAAAACTTAATAGTTTTCTACTTTCTGACTGGGTGAGTTTTACATCTATAAGTACGGGCCACTTGTTAGTTTACTCTTATATGTTTTACCAAGTTTTGACATCACTTATAGGCGAGTTTTGAAAACTTAATAGTTTTACTAAGTTAGTTTACTCTTATGAGTTTTACCAAGTTTTGACATCAATTCTAGACAAAACCAAACTAAATGGTCCCTGCATTGATATTCTTTCTTATTATTTTTAATTTTTTTTGGTAATTTGTTAGAGTTCAGGTGGTTTCACTCTTTACTATTCAATAAGTAAGTATGTGTATTATTTTTCTTGTTTAAACTATGCTAGTTAAGACGTTTACCACTGAAATTAATAAGGCCTTTTTGAAACTATGTGTTTTACGTGATGTGACAGCAAGTATTTTCATAATTTTCATTATTTGATTGTTCAGTTGCCCTTTTTGAATTATCAAATTGCAATTATCAAATTCCATGGACAATCAACTTTCTGACAATGTAAGTTACATTTTTTGAATTACAGAAAACATGCATATGTCACTTTTATGAGTATTAATTGATGTATTTGTAAATTGTAATAGATGTCAAGCAGTTCGATTCCCGCTTCTGGTGCCCGTGGCAA